GTTTAAACGTCTCCAGTGTTGAAAAAGGAAGCATTGAACTTTTCTCTTCGAAAAATTCTTTCACTTTTTCGTAGTCTTTTTCTGATAAAAGATCTTTTAATGTTGTGTCGCCTTTCATTTTCATTTTGCCCATGACCATGAGCATTTCGATCATGTTGTCAAGGTCAACTTCAAAATATACCTCGTCTGCTTTACGAATTACATTTCGCATACTACTGCTGAGCAAAGCATCATCAGCACAGAGCATATGTATGGTGCCATACAGGTATGATGGTTTTGCCAGCCCATTACCACTGATTTTCCATAGCAGTGTATTATTGTCCGGTGCTTCTTTCTCTTTTTCCTGCGCACAACCTAACAGTGTCAACAAACTCAAAAACAACCCTGCACTTACTTTTTTCATTCCTTCAATTTTACACAAGTTACATAAAGAACACGGATGGAATCGAAACTTAACAACCTGCTAAGAACCTACGCCTGCCACTTATTTACTGATAGAATATTTCGCTCCAATACCGTGAAAACCGGGTACCCCATTTTATTTGTAATTCATCTTTGCTAATCAACAATCCCAGCTCTTGTTTCACTGCAAGCCAGGGTAAATTAATGCCTGCACCAAGGCCTGCCGAAATGGTGCCCTGTACCCTGGGATTTATTTCCAGCAACAGGAACTTATCCTGTGTTGATCGCTTCACCTGCATCCCTATGTTTCCGTGAAGTTGCAGTTCACGAATGATCTGGCTACAATAGGTGATGATTTCCTGGTTTTCCACAAATTCCCCCTCAACACTTATTCCGTTAATCATTTTTTTTCTCAACCGGGGTACTACCAATACCACTTCTCCTTTGTTTGCCAGGCAGTCGACTGAGTATTCTTCACCTGGTAAGTACTCGCTGACTAACAACTCAGGGAAAGTCTTTAAAGAAAGTACCCGTATTGCTTCATCGCAGGTGATATGAGGCGTGCCTGGTTTTTCATTGAATAATAAATGATGATCATCTGTGTCCTTATCAATGATGCGAAAACCCCTGCTCCCGT